GAAAGAATTGCTCTACAAAAATGAAGTAAACCAACTGGGTGTGCACAGGGCTAGATTTAGCTCGAGGAATACCATGACCACAGCCTTCCCTGCAGCAGGCACAGCTTCTGACCGATCACTGCACTTTCTTCCATAGCCACAGTCACACCAATGGAGGAGCAAACAGTGGGCTGTGTGGAGCTTCTGGATGGCATCTCAAAGAGTTGCTATTTCAAATGGAACAGGGATCAAACCAGGCTGGTCACCACCTCTCTTCCACAAAGAGGTAGAACAAAGGTCTTTCTGGTGTGGGGAAGAGAAGAAGGTTTTGTTGCAGGAAGCAACAAAGCTGCAAAGTGGCATTTTTTCCCCAACTGTTGTTGGGGGAATAGTTGTTAACTTTCAGTTTCTCATTCCAATTACTGATCAACTCCGATTTTTTAAGCACTGCTGTGTCTCACAGCACCGTGTGCAGCGATGGAAGATGCCCTGTGAACCTCCTCAGAGCACGTTTGCCTGCAGATCTGACATCCAGCCTTTTGGCTTGAACAAAGGAAGCAGTCATTAAAGCACAGGTCCCACTTGAAGTACTCCTTACTTCAGCACTCCTTCTTCCCACGAAGCCCCTCAGTTTGTCTGCACGCCTGCCAAACAAGACGCAGAATATCCAGAAAGCTCCCAGTTGGAAGGCAGGTTACCACCCACCAGCCAAGTCCTCACCACTGTGTCCTCACCCAAGCTGGCAGAGAGCAGGCTGCATGGATATATCCACTCTGTGGTCAAGACCCCCTGTGACACTGGGCAGACCAGGGCCTTCATGCTCTGCCATGGTCCCTGTGGGCCTCTGGTGGGGTGAACATCCCACATCCAACTGGGTTGAGAACAAGCAGGCTGTCTGCAGGATCCGAAACCAGAGCCAGTGCAAGCATTGTTATACACCATAATGGAAAAAAAGAGAACATACCAGGAACAAACTTTAAAAATAGCATCAGTATGTGGCAGGTTATATTTTTTTTTCCCCTCAATGGACTTCTGTGTTTACGACTTAACAAAATAGTTTACCAGGACACTGTAAGTTTCTAATTTGTCATCTTCCTCCCCTTTTTGTTGTTAAAGAAGAAAATGCTTGATGATAGTCATAAGGAATAGACAAGAAAAGAAAATCCCTGACTCCACTAACAGCCAAATTATAGACTGGCTGTAGGAAAACACACAAGAGAAGACTAAATATAAAAAGCAAAGGACCTCTCAAGTGCCCTTGTTTTTCCAATATATAAAGCAGTATTTTGCCCATGCCACTTTTAACCTGGAAAATACATGTGTCACTCATTCTTAACTAAAATACTCTCTGATTTTGCATTTTGATTTCATGATTTCTTTAAAATGTATATATACATGCTGACTAACTAAGAAAGCCTTTTAAAAAAATACTAGTTTCTCTAATTGAAAATACATTGAAGGACAAGTGTTTGCGTTGTGTGCTGTTTAAGTACCTGGAGTCAATTCTCTTTGCTAACATAATAGATTCTTGCTTTTTTAGATTATCCAAGACAATGTGCCTTCTGGTGGTCACATTTCCTTATTCATTCCCAATTCAAAGCTGTTTAAGAACAATCAATGAGGATCAACTAGCATCTTTATAGTCATCAAAAGGTGCAAACTCTAAGATGTAGAGGCTCTTAAATTGGACTTAAAAACCAACCCACTCTAGCTCACTTATTGTGTTAGGTTGACACATCATTAAAGCTTCAGTAATTTAACAGCGTACTCATAAGTAAAAATAATGTACCATCTAAATCTAATTAATAGTATGAGTAATTTTCAGAATTAAATCTAACGTTCAATATGCATGCAATCTATTTGGGAACTTAACATGAGCAATGCCATAAGACAAATGTTTCTGAAGTCAAATTCACATTTCCATGCAGGCCTACAATGAACTAAATACAGTTTGAAGATGCAATATTCTCAAATATCAATTAAAATCATTTCAGTAACTGCAGTTAAAATATTTTTTAAATGGTTATTAACTAAATGAGTAGACGGTTTTGGCCCTAAATTTATCTGACTGCTCTCATACTAAGAGATGGTACTGTGGCAGTTTACATAATGAGACTGTCTAAATATTTTGACAAAACATCTTCCCCTGGGTGAGGAGTGCTTATGACCTCCCCTGCAGCTCAGCAGGACTGAAGCATCTCTGCACACATTACCCAGGCAGCCCAGCAGGCACTGTGCTAGCATTGGGTGACTGCTGATAGCACAGCCATAACCAGACACACTCACAGAAAGCTATGGATAGGCTAAATCAATCCTGCTTCTAACAAGAAATTACAACTGAGCACAAAAGTTAAGAATACAACAGGATCTGTTGTTGAAGTCTTTCAGCCAGAACTGCTGCTCAAAACACAATGTAGTGCTCCAGCACCAGCTACAGGCACAAGTTTATTCATTGCTGTGCATATGCTATAGCTACAGCTAGCTAAAGAAACCCCAGCACCACAGTGGATCATTCAACTCTGCAGCAGTTGAGAGGATAGACTGAAATCAAACGAGATCACTCCTACACTCAAAAAAACAAAGCTATTGTATCACTACTCAACTTTCAAAACACCTTATCTTGAATACTACACAGAATTAAAATAAATAAACAAACAAACAAATAAATATCAGGAAAAATGATTGTGACTATGGAACAGTTTCAAAAGGAGAGAGATTAATCAGATAAATTTTAAACTACTGAAAAAGAAAGAACAATATACAGAATTAGGTCTGTAAAATCACAAACAAAATGGCAATCAATTGCACAGTGCTATTCATAGAAGAAATCAGAAGGTATCAAACAAAAGTGATCAAGCAGAAGCTATGAAAGAGACCTACTTTCACACATACTGTACAGGTAAATACTGGAATTCCTGTTACAGGGTGCTGCAGTTCTCCCTGCAAAAGCATTAAAGAATGAGGCCAATTTGGGGTGAGGCCTTGTTGGGATGCACACAGAGCCTCCAGCTCAGGAAGCAGCGAGCCTGCTAATAACTGGGAACTTGCTCTGTGTGCTGACCAAGGTCAGGGCCGGGGACACTCCTGGTCTGCTGCAGAGCAGCCCTGCTTCTGGGCACCCACCTGCTTCCAGCCATGTGTTACAACTACTGCTGACTGTTACTGCTTTGCTAATGCTGAACGGCTGCCGGCAGTTATCGTAAAAATCAGGTCTATTATTAATAGTTCATTCTATTAAGCATCTGTTAACCTTTCTGGGAATAAAAATCACCAAGAAACCGTACACATAGCCGAGACCTCAGCTCAACTCCTAGTCTCACTTCTCTCCCTTTCCCTGCCCTTGGAGAGCACAATATTTCTAGTAGCTAGTATAAAGCCACACAACAATTTGGAGGTGCTGTTTACGTTGGCATTTCTTGATCCGCAGTTTCAGATCAAATGAATTTGTTTCTTTTAAGCAAACGATGCTTTGTTTTAAGGCATCTCCATTTATTACAGATGTAATTAACAAGCCTTTTAATTTGTACAGAATATCTCAAAAGCTACAGTTTCATAAAATTGATGCTATTAAACCTACAATACAGTAAAGAAAGGGTTACTCTTGATAAATTAGCTAAGCTTGTACAATACAACAATTACAAAATACAGGTAATTTTTAATACTGTTAGTAGACAACTAAGAAACAGACAATGATTACTAGCACTAATCTTTCTAAAAAGAATTACTTCAAATTAACTTTTCTAGGAATTAAAGAATGCTATCAAAAATGCACGATTCCCTTGGAAAATGAGAAGTGGGAACAGAAACAAAACCACATCACAATTTAAATAAGACATTCCTCATGGTGCCACTAAACTTTCATCTTTCTCTGCAGTGTGTCTTTATTTTCTCTGTTAGTATCTTTGAAAACATTTAAGTGCATGAAAACTGGCAGAAATAAATTCTGTTAAACACAGAACAGAAATACAAAGCATCATTTTTCTTAGAAAAATGTTGTGACAAGATTTACCCCAAACTAGTCTAGTTCCTTAGGAATTGCTCTGTTTTCTGTTACAAAACAGCTCAAATGCATTTTTATAACGTTCTACATGCAATGAAATACAATGCATAAATGAAATCTGCATATTTTCATGTGCCCAGAAATTATGTTCATTTTGCAAAGTGAAAAATACGGTTTTATGGCACTAAGAGTTGAGTTATACATTACTGTCATTCCTGTCTTTTCTACTGACCATGGCCACATTACTATTTCATGTCAAAATACTTTCTGTACTTGTCTTTTTTAGTGATGATATTTAATCTTAACCACGATTCTGATTTATAAGTCAAACAATGAATGTTGAGCTAGTGCTTCAAATTACTCTTAGGTAGAACTACTTCTATATCTTCAATTGCTGGTTTTTTTTTGTTTTTGGTAAAACTTTGCTTCCAGTAAGCTTGAGCATTTCAAGCGACACAGTTCAAAGCGAAGAAGATTTGAGATCTTTTCTTTCACTTTTTTTTTTTTAAGTATAGCAGTAAGGACATTCCTTAAACATTTCCCTCAGAACTACACCTGAAGTCTACACATGACTTCAAATCAGATTCACAGTCAAAAACATCTCTTCCTCTCTGTAAGATCACAAGCGTAGATCACAAGCTTAGGATGTTATAACATTAAAAAACATTGTGAAAAGTAACACAGAACAAGTTGACACACTTTCAAAAGTGACATTTAAAATAACAAAACTGTGTTTCCAATTTTTAACTCTTGAAAAAATAAACAAAGGTTTTCCTGAAAAATTTTGGTCAAACTTACTTCCACATTTACGAAGATGGAAGAATATGTAACTATAGAATGCATGTAGTGCTCATGCTGATGTAATTCCTTTTAAAAAGCCTTCCCATGCATCATCTATAGTATAATCTGAGATTCTTACGTTAGCTTCAGTATCTTTGATCTGTAATTAGCCAAAGTTAAAATCCAACGGTTTTATACTATAAAGTTATGAATACTTGTAATTAAGTGACAGAAACACCCATTTCACTGAGATCTTAACTGTTTTATTCACAAAATAAACAACTTCATCTTCCCAGAGGATGAATTTAACAGAAAGACTTAAAGCAACAGTTATAAAAAAAAAGCAGTACTGAAAATTTGAAAAAGTCTGATAAAATTTACAAATGCAAACTACCACTTTGTACAAAATCTTTTTTAAAGAAAGTTTAGTCATTTTTTAAAATACAGTTTCAACAGCTCAGAAACGCCCATTTATTTCAAACTGTTTAGGTATTATTTTCGTCTGTGTGGGGAATTCTCCCTTCGTCTATCCTCATATTTTCTGGATTCCCTGTACTGGTCAGAGGAATGGTTGTACTTCTCTCTAAGTCTTTCTGAGCCATTTCTATATCGGTGGTCTTCTTCTTCCTCCCTTGGACTTGACTTGTTATATGATCTCTCTCCAGATCTAGATCTTTCTCTTTTTCTACTCCGATGTCCATTATCTCTGCTCCCGTGTCTATAACTTTCATCATCAGAAAAAGAAGCTCTTCTTTCTGCTTTCTTCTGTTTTGAATTGCTGTGTTTATTTTCTAGATCCTTACTTCTCTCATAGTTCCTATCTCTTCCACTATGGTAATCATCTCTGCCATTAGACTCATCCCTGTGATGGTATTTTGATATGTCATCTCTCCTATATGCTTCGTAATCGTCTCTGCCATTAGACTCATCTCTGTACTGATATTTTGATGTGTCATCCCTCCTGTGTGCTTCTCTCATGTTTCGGTGATTCCTTTCTGACTTGCTCTCACTATCACTTTTGTCCTCTTGCCGCCTCCTTCCCACTTTCTTCTCAAGCGATTTTCTTTTCCTTTCTTGTTTTTTCCGGGAAGCTTTTTCAGATTCTCTGTTTTTCTTTTGTGTTCTCCTTCTTTTAGCTTTGGAAGCATCTGAAATGACAACAAATTATGGGAATAAGGTTTTATTTTAATCAACTATTTGATCTATTAAAGTACACCAAGAGTTATAAAGAAATACCTGTATGGAAAAACATTCCAACTTTTGTTATGTATCTGGCCAGAGGTTACAAAAATACCAGCTTTGCTTGTATCCCTCCCCTCAACCAAGGATTTCATGCAATGGGATAAAATCCACCCATTCTTTTAACTGAGCAGGTTCTGACTATTTTTAAGGGTCTGGCTGTATTACAGGCCTCATATTTTAATACGAAAAGTTCTCCCTTGAAGTGCAAGCTAAGAAGCCCAGAGCTACATTATTCCTCTAAGCTTCAGCATTTGTCAGCATCTGCACTGTTACAAACCCACAAACCTCAAGTGAACAACAGGCAAGGCTACACCACATCCAAAACAGTAAAAACAAGAAAATATGACCTCATGGAATAATCTTCCACACTTCATCCGATTTACCATGACTACACAGTTATCAAGAACATGACATCATACCACTTTAGCTCTAACAAACATCAAAACCAAACTTCTTCCTCAACTTACAGAACATAGAAACAAACATGCACTTGAAAGGAAAACATTACTAACCAGACATATAAATGAAGTAACTCATACCAAAAGAGTAACATGCTAAACAGGAATCTGACATAACATGTAGGTCGTGAAAGACGTGCCTTCACATTTTAAGTGCTACATACTGACAAAACTCCAACAATCAAGTGTCCCCTCTCTTCTACTCATTTGTAGCTTTGACACCTGCAGGGTTTTTATCCTTTACCTATCCAGAAGTAATGCCTGAATTCTGAGAGCCTCTACACATCATCACCTTTTTACTGACTTGATACAGAAGGACCAGGCACAGGATGTAAAGCCATACATCAAAACTCAGAAAATTTCTTTCCAAAAGGTCATCTTTTCCAGACCATCCATTATCTTCAAATTGTTTACTTCACCAATTACTTTCTGGAAGAGCTTATCAGGCAAGGAGTTTAAAAACAGCAGAGAGGGAAAAAACTCTTAACACTATCCTGAGAAAGAAAAGCCAGATGAAATAGCTTCAGAAACTTTGTGGTACTGCAGCAACATAACAATGACTCTGGTTTGTTTTCAGGAATGATAGTGCTAGCTTGTCAACAATTTAAGATCAGCTTCAGAACCCTAAGAAAGGCCATAGACTACTGACTCTAGGAACCACAGGAAATAACATTACATTAACATCTACAGAGCTTTAAGAAGTCCCCAGTTTAAACAGGGCCTACATACTTGTTTCAAGTAAAAAGTGAAATCATCATGAATGCTAAAGAACAATATAAAGTTAACAAGTTTAAGAAGAGGATGTTTTGATAAAAGCCCAGTGGTCCTTAAAAATACATAAATATACAGATATTTTAGTTATGCCACAGGTACTGAGTGAAAGCAAAGCAAAGGCAGTGCAGCTGCTTTAAACCAGTAAATATTTGCTTTTAATTTACAGAAAATATTTTTTTGTCTAATAAAACTTGGCTTTTGAAAATAATGTATAACTACCTCAGAAACAGCCTCCATATGAACCAACATCTGTATTTCTAAATGTGCAGCAGTATTTATCTCAGAGGAAGACTTTACTCTTCCTGTTTGCTCTTTATTAACAATCTGCAGATTTCTCTCAGCAGATGTGACAAAGCATTATAAGCAAACAGTGAACACTAAAGTTGCAGTCATTTACAGTTAACAATGGTTATTATATGAGCTACAGTATCACATATTTAACTGTTTCTAACCACCTTATGAAAATACTGTAGCCATAAATTGATTTAATAGTACATCAAATATCTGAGTCCTACAGAAGCTGGCTAATCTGTCTGAACTAAGGCTTGCTGGCACTCTGATTACATGCAATGACGGATCACTTTGGCTACATTTTAGAACAGTAAGTTTTTCTTTTTTTTCCCCAACGCTACCAAGGTAAAGAAGCCTTCCCTCTGTTTGCAGCTTTTTAAAAATCAAGCTATAACCAGTAAAATACCTTCATTTTGTAGCAAGCCTGACCCACATTCGTAAGTGCATAGTTATCTCAAATTAGTATCCCATACGTGACATTTAAGTACACAAAAATCAGGGAAAAAGTGAAACTGGGCTACTAAGATATAAAAATACAAGTTTTATGACTGTACGCCTTGATGAAGGAAGGACAAACAGTAAAAGAGAGGGTCCTAAGACTACAAAAATCAAGTGCTCACACTATCAGACTGCAGACTCAGTTTGGTTTGTCACTAAGGACTTACCTCTCTGGTTCCTATCAAGCAGCTCAGCAGAGCTGCAGCTGTCTATGCAGGAACCATCTGGCTCTTTGCTGAACTAACGCCTTCTTTGACCCTATTTGACTGCGCCCTCCTCTAGTGCTTTGCTGTCATTAATGTGACAGCTTTAGGATGAAATGCAAATCAGATTTTGTAGAGGAACATTGCAAGAGGACAGAAATGCATTTCCAGACACGAGCAGTTCACACTGCTTTTATTTTATTAATCTGCATTTTCATTTCTGAGTCACATAATAAATCAAATTAATTTTGAATCAACAAGGTTCTGAACTACAGAAAGTCATGCTGTGTTATCATCTGCTCATGTTATAGGAGAGACTGTACACAGTAATTCATACTAGCAAGTACTTCACAGATTAAGCAATGTTTATGACAAATAATGATTACAACATGAAACTACATAATACTAAGTTATCAGCAAAAGCTGATTCATCCTTGAAGATTTCCCTTAAGGCAAGAACCCTCACTATATCAACACAGAAAGTCTTCCAGAGAAAGAATTAGAAATGAAGAATAACAAATAGAATAAAACAAAACTCACTGCTAGAACTGACCAATGTTGTGTCTAATCCACAACAGGGTACCTATTTACAGAAGAGGATACTAGGAGCATCAAGCTCACTCAATTAAGCAGTGGAAAAAAGAATCAGATGTTAGTACCACAGTTCCCCACTAAGCTATATATATCCCATAGAGATATTAATACTAGCCCCTCCGTTCTCCACTAGACTGAAAAGACAGCTCTGTGCAACAAGTATCAACTGTGTAAGAAACTCTTCTATAAAACAGTGTTCCTCAAGTATTTAAATCTCTAAAAACGGGACTAAGATCTTCTGTTTTCTGAAAGAAGTTTATATGAGCAAAAAGAAGTATTTTAAAAACATGCAATTTAAAAAAAATATATTTATAAACCACAGCAACACTGTCTAGAGCTAGTTTGTAGCAATAACAGTAAACAGAAGCATGGCAGTAAACAAGAGGTAAATAAATAGTTATAGCTAGTGCTTGAATACCTGAGTCACTGCTGTCGGTACTGCTAGATGAAGAGTCACTGCTGCTGGATGACTCTGAGCTACTGCTACTGCTGTCAGAATCAGAATCTGAAGAAGAGTCTGTTTCTGAAGATGAATCTGATGACTCAACATCTTGTTTCTGAGTCATTATCATCTTTGGTGCATTTTTCAGATGCTCCCGTAATTCATCTCTAAGGAACAACGACAATATCATAAAAAAAAAAAAAAAAAAAAAAAAAAAAAAAAAGAAGTCACTTCCCTCTCCCACCTCCTAAACTGAGAGGCAGGGAAGGAAAGCAAATATTAAATCAAACAAAAATGTTCCTCACGTAAGTCCTCCAAGGCCAATAGAAGTGAAGAAATTGATGGCAAAGCGAGTGTTTCTTGGGTTATCCCGAGGCAGTAATCCCTCAAAGAAAGGCTGCAGTGTTCTGTTGAAAACAAACATCTAAAATAATCAGTATGCCAGTTTAGCACTAATTCTCACTGACATTAATAGACTTAAAAAGGAACTATATTACATAGCACAGTGAAAATTCTCTTCATGCATTTTTCAACACTTTCCTTGTTTATATCTGTGATGTATATTAACAAAATACTTCTGAGATCTAATAATGCACTGTCATAACTGACAGTTTGAGGAGCCTGATTTTGCAAAGCCCTGAGCAGACCTGTGAAAACACAGCAGCTAGTGAAAGTAAAGAATATTACTTGACAACCATGAAGGACAAAGATCAAATTAAACAGGGCCTTAAGATGGTCTAAATTCAAGCTTACATGAACTAAAGCATCTGTTAAGCTTAAGAGTCAACCCAACTAATGGGAAGCAGCTCTAGCAACCAAGATGAACGCTGCCAGAATGCAGTGTATTAAAAAACCACAAACGCTTAAAAGAATGTTATTGACACTGTACTCAAGGACAAGCAACTAACCCTAGAAAAACTAGAATCTGGTCCTTTTCTTCTAAACTTTGTCAGAACAAACAGCCACAGCAACTTTCATTACTGCTGACAAAACAATGAAATTAACAGACTGGCACTTGATACATTCTTGTACAAGTTGTACTGTCTTTGGAAAAAAAAATAATATAGCTTTCAAATAAATACTCTTGCACATAGCTGAACTTGTCAATGGTAGCATTCAATTTAAAGGGACTGTAAGTCTCTAATGAGTAAAGTTATACATTAACTTATTCTTGAAAATTGCAGCTATAAAACCACCGATGTAGTTGAATTTGAAAACAGAGGTTTTATTTGTACTCTTTCTGATGAATTAATTCAACGTACTGTTTTTAAAATAAAACTTCAACTTACATGTCCTTTAGTCTTGCATTTAAATTTGGAAGTCCCATATATTCACTAAGCTCCTGAAAGAATATTTTGACAAAAATCCTACTGGAGGAAGTGGTTGTTTCTTCACTCAGTATTATACACTCCAGAACCTGAAAATGTTTAGGAAAAAAACACACAAATGAAAGAAAGTATGTTCAAACTTCACCTAAAACCCTTTGGCCTCCTGAAAAAAACAAGTAAAGACTATTTATTTATTTTTGTTCACCAATGCACACTAATTCTCAGTCAAGAACTTTTCTTCCTTGAAAGGTCCGTTCTAACAAGAAATTTCTGATCATTTTTAAACTAGCAATTGTTTCAGGATTTATCCTGTCCAAGAAAAGTCAGTGGAAGAAAAACAGGTGTGAGAACTCCTGGAAAGTTAAAGATTTGAAATGGGTGTTCTAAAGAGGTGAGATATTTGGATTAATTTGTGTGTGCCTGAAGAATGTCAATTAGATTACATTATCGAACAAGAATAAAAGTGTAGGAAAAGAGAATTGTAATTATTTCTAAAGTTTCATATAAAAAGCCTGAAAATTTTCTGTATGAAGTTAATTTTAGATGATTTCTTTACATTTACTTTTTGAGAGACAGCTAATTACACTGCTGATTAGCTAAAAAAGTGTACATTTTAATCAACCAATTCCAGCTCAGCTCTGTAAAATAACAGCTCAGAGCCACTAATGAAGAACTGTGGGAGACAGAAACAGGATAGGATGTTCAATGGTGTATCTCAGAATACATTTAAAATAATTGTTTGCTACAAGTGCCAATAGTTTCAAAACGTTGAATGAATACTAAAACCAATTTATTACTAATTTCTGAATTACTACAGATTAATAATTAAATAAAAAACCTTTGGCAATAGCCAGTTCTACTCACACTCCAGGGAATGGAATCAGTGTACAGCAGATGAGCAAACATCTTGGCAACATTCCTTAATTTGTTTGTTTCCAAACGATGAATGGTATCATACTGTTCCTTGAAAATAGCTTCAAAGGATTCCATATATTCTTTTTTTAACATGCAGAAACGCTGAAACAGTATTTTACAATTTAAATAACCAGATTAAGCAAAATATTAAACACGCAAATAACATATGCATAAATGACTTATGCAATGTAAATGTAATGCTGCTAATATTTATCACAAGACCTTCTGTTAAAAACTAATACTTATAGAAAACATCTCCAAACAGATACAATTGATTGCTTCCAGCAGTTTGTCAGAGCATGGAACTCATCTGCATTGCAAAGTAGTAATTAACAATTTTGACCTACAGCAAATGATTCAGCAATTTATTTTACTTCTATACATCCAGTATTCTCACTGGGCGTAACCCCTCAAATACAACTTTTTTCATGATGTCACTGAGAGGGTATTTAAGACCAGAGAGGCAGCAGGAACACAGTGAGAGGCAAGACACTTCGGACATAAACACTGCAATGAACACTAAAAAAATTTAAAAATTAGTTTTTAAAAATTAAATTAAAAATTATATTTTTTAAAAAAATTAAAAATTAAAGTAAAAAGAAATTAACAGTTACATCCTACAGCTTTTTAACATCCACATTCAAATGGCTGGTGCTTCATAACAATATCAGCAGAAATATTTCCTCAAATACTGAATTTAAAAAAAAACCTACAAATGGAAGTAAACACTTGCTTTCATCAGAACTGCTTACTCTATTTGACTTAGCGAGTCAGCTCTGCCAATGTAAGAGATAGGAAGAGCTTAGGTAATTAACCATGACTACATTTGTAGTTATTTTGAGAAAAATGAAAACAACACCAAAGACCCAAGATGCTAAATGTTTACTGAAAGACAACAAAACAGGGAAAACCAGGACAGCAACTAATGCTTTGTCTTATAAGATCTACTAAGCAGCTGAAAGAAGAGTCTCTAAAGTCAACTGTTAGCATTAAGAAAAGGATCTTTCCAGTAACTCACAACACTTTTAACTTCTTTTAATATCAATGCCTTGGCCTCCCATTTACTTCTCTACTGTAATGGAAAAATGGGAGGCCAAAAAGGAGAAAATGAGTTCTCATTTGGCATTCACTGTGCTTGTTACAATCCAGATGCTAATTCAATCAATTAATATAATCATTTTCAGTATAGTAAAGACTATTAGTTTTACTTCTCTATTAAAATTGATTTGACAAGAGTAAACCAAAAGAAATTATCTACCATCGAGTGTAAAATCTGAAATTAGGACTCACCCCTGCCAGTAACCCAAAGAATTTTTCATATGTTCTTTGCTGAGCGCAGCAGTCAAGTATCATGTTGCAGAGTTCTTTCTGATTTCAGAGAAAACAACATTTTTTCTAGGTAAATTTGCTGTAGCAGTACAAACATCATCACAAAGTATCAAAATATTAAGGAAACGCTCACATGGATGCCAGCTGTGAAGCAAGATATTTACATAACTTCCCTGGATAAAACAGTAGTTTTCCAAATTTCTTGTGTTTCTGAAGTTATCTCAGGGTCTATATTTGCACTTTTGGCATTTGTATTTTCTCTTATGCTTAAGCTGATGTCTTTTAATGATTCTGAGCTCACTCAATGTGTAATTTAATAACAACAGTCAAAACTACTTTACTAACCATCTTTACCACAGAGCAGAAAAGAACACTAAATCCCTGCATCTGGAGAAAACATAGACAAAGAAATCCATATTTAATTACATCACAGGAGACCCCAGAATAACTGGTACCTTAGCAAGTGCTGGTTATCTTCATAACAAAACGCCAGACTTGGAAACTAGATAGATGCACGTAAATGCCTACCTTTGTGAGTAGGAGCAGACAACTCATGAATGAAATCTGTATACATCTTTACAAAGATCCTAAAATAATTAGTTCAATTTTAAACTGTAACATTTCTTTATGTAGCGGGTATAATTTTACAGGTTTTTTTAGTCACAAAATAACCATCTAGTAGTTTAAGCTCGGACACATTTTTAAATCCTACTGCTAGAAAGAATGAAATACACAAAAAAAGCAATTGCTTTTTTTTTTTTTTAAGGAGTTTTTGCACAAAATAAACATAAAAAAGCATAAAACCAGGAAGACCTCTTTTACCATTCTGAAATCTTATTTTTAAATAACCTTTTTCAAAAGCAACAAAAATAATTCAGAAGACTAACTTGAGCGCTTCTTTTCTTACTAAGGAAGTGAGCTTGGCTAGGAGAGAATGCAGGAAGTAGAGGCAGATTGGCCTCCCAAAGCTTTTTTTTTTTTTTTTTTTTTTTTTTTTACACACACACACACACACACACACACACACACACCAGTGACAGACTGCCTTCCATCTCTCTCCTGTCCGAATGCATGTGAGCATAAGCAAACATCAGCTATGGCAGAAGATACTAGCTGCCAACTACCCAAAACAACCAGTTTCCTCCCACTCCACAAAAGGCAGCCTTGTTGGAAGAAAAGATATCTGTCCTCCTTTCTGCTCATTTCCCAGTATAATCACTCCAAGTTAATTATTGTATCACCCTCCAGCTATAGATACACATAAATGTTGTTTTCCTGACTACATAAACTGAGCAGACAGTGACATGGCTTATGGCACAGTCACTAATACAACCAAAGCAAATATTCTCATATATGCATTAAAAGCCATCAAATACTGTGTTGCAGTTTTCCCCCAATTATTGTATACTTTTCCATATGACCAACTTCACAGAGTAAATCAATTTATGATGTTCCCAAATAGGTTTTAGAGTATCAGTCATATATCTTTCATGATTATTTAAAATAAACTTTAAACTTTCCACTAAGCTTACGATGCAAAAAGAAACATTTTGCCCATCACAAACTGTACTCAGAAGAAACAGCAAACCAACCACATTTAACAAGAAGAAATAATCCCTTCTGATTATACTGAGGCAGCAACGTATGAAAGAGAAACCTAAGTTTGTTTAAAGGCATTCTTTTCAACACTGTCACACTGGGTTAGCTTGATATATTAAAATGCATATTAACTTTTTATATTATCCTGCTTTACAGTAATGCTTCAGGTAATCAGTTTTTAAACAATAAAAAGGGGTAAAGTGCTGATGCCATTGCTAATAAAGTCAGCAAGATTTGAAAAACAAATTACTTCTTTTCCTCATCTTAAATGCAATTACAATATTGGTATCCCCTGTGGTTTACAGTAATTAAATATTTTAACATTTTAATTAAATATTACAATGATTTCTAGGAGGGTATCTTGAATAACCACATGCATGAAAATAGCTTTGCCCATAGACATCCTTGCCAGTGTTATCCAAACAACTCAAGGTTAGGTCTACAGTAACTGTCTTTCAGATTAAAAATTAACAAACTTGAAAATGATTTAATTATTTTTTGAGAGATGTAACAAGTTCACAAAACAATTCCAGCTTCAATTATAGCTTTAAGAGGTTAGTTAACTTGTTTTGTTGCTTCCAGTGCTAAAGTTTCTAAAGATGATTAAGGTGAGGAAAGCTTGTGGGTTTTACTGCAGCATTTGCTTTAAAGAATGTAACAAGCGCTTCCCAGTTTTGAAGACACTTTGTGTACTGTGCTGTCCAAAGCCTTCCATACAATGACAAGCAAGCAAGCATCCAGATTTGGTCAGATACTAAGTACAGCTATCTTGTCATGAAGTAAATAAATCCTTCAAAAAATATCTGATGTCCAACACAGAACGAGCGAAATCTCTTGTGAAGATCTTTACCTCAATACCGTATTATGGAAAAATGCCACTTCCCAAAACTGCTGAGATTGAAAATAAGGAGAAAGACTTCTCTACATACACTGTATTTCCCCAAGTTCTCACTTGAACAATTCCTGATCAAGCAGGATAATGGGTTGGATGGACTTAAGCGCAGCCTTGCAGGGAGATTATCTTTTTTAAACCAGCATTACTGCTTTAAAGAACAAGCATACCCTTGCTACTCTACTCTATTAAACTAGCTTCACACATAAGGGCTAAATAACTTCAGAAAGAGAAGTTAACTCAGTTTTCTCACTCCTTTCTGATTCTGTGTTTCTTCTTACACTATATATTTTTTTCATTCATTCATTCTCCTTTGTTTCTTGCTGTGATTTCTTTAAGAGCCACTCCTCCTCTTTCAGAGTTGACCCACAGCTGTTCTCCAAGGAGGCCGCTTTGCTCCTCCTTCCCTACCTGGAAGTGATGACATTTCCCCTCTCCTTCCTTGCAGCCATGCAGTTCTGCTCCTGTACTGACTATATAAGCTGTATACAATCTGAAGCAACCGTGAGATATCCCTTATCCACAGACTACTAGTTCTTTTTAAAACATACAAGTTCCCACGCTAGTACGTGTGTTTCTATGATCATGTAATGAACTGAAAGAACCAATATGCTGGAAACAAAACTAGTAAGGGATTATAGGCTGGTTTACACCACTGTGAAATTACCTAAAATCAGCATCTTGTTTTTGTACATTGTTGCAGTGTTTTCACAGATGCTGTTCCTCATTCTTCTCTATTCCAGCTGAAGTTTATTTTACTACCTTTAAGCTTTCCCTACAATGGTAGGGAAATGTAGTGCATGCAACTTACATATGCCTATTTTTTCCAGCATCTCTCTCTTCCTTCCCTCAGTTCTCAGAATTATTGCACAGAGCCAAGGCTGACAAAGGGATAGAAGGTGCTTCAGTAGCAGGTGGTCTGGCAAACTGCACATAATGCTTTTGGCAGTTCCAGGTCTGTCCTCTATTAGGTCAGCTGATAGTTATTCTTCAACTTCCATTATCCCTTTGCCTACATTTTTATTTTTTTTTAAACCTCAGTTTGTTTTATGATTAGAGAACTGTATGGTTAAAGTTGAACATACTCATCAGAAGACAATTAGACCTACAGGATTTTATGTAGGAAGAAAAAAATGCATATAAGGACACACATGTATTTAATTGTGCTGCTTTAAATCTGCTTCCCGCTACAAGTCTGCAGCACACATGGAAGGCTCTAGTAAAACAATACATTGAAGCCACACAGCATATGCTTCCTTTCAGTCTCAAAGGTATGTGTGCAAAAATTAAGTAACGCCACTGAGGTGATGTGGGCAATTCCATCTTCACAGCTTAAATGCATACACAGAAGTTTGCAAGATCAAAGCCTAGCCAGAACTCTAGCTAGCACCAGGTACTAGTAATACAGAATATCACCTCCTCTTCTCGTCTATATTTTTATTTTGTAGATGGACGTGTATACCAAAATAAACACAGAAAGGGCAATGAGCTTCACAGTTAGATAATGAAATCAGCTATTTTTACATCAGTAACATTTTTATTAATGATAAAGATATGCAGTTAAAGGAAGCTTTTATGTTTTTTATATTTATTGGAAACATTTTAATAAAAACATCACCTACCACAGTTATAAAATGCATAAATCCTATTAAAAAAAAAAGAATTTAAGTCTAGACACTTCAGAGAGTTGCAAAAAAAATTAAAAAAAGCTAGCATTTTCTCATTCAAAAGATAAACGAGTCAAATGCTGGCACCTTCTAATAGATTTCATGTATTTTAAAAAGCACATTTTAAAATATAAGTTAGGTTTCTGGGACTTCATTCTGTATACACATGGCTTAGAAGTTCCCCTTAATTTGTTACTATTTATTTCCAAGAGATACTTTGAATAATCCAGCTACACAATTAGTTATTTTCTTCTGCAAACATTCAGTTCCTCCATGATCCTGAAGCCTAAACAAGTAACCCCTGTTCAGGTCGTGACAGAAACCTCAGGTCAAACAAAGCACCTAGTTCATTCCCATCTACTTCACTCTGTTTAGAAACTGCTTGCATTTTAAATATGTAATCTACATACTAACTGGAGGGAAAGGAAGAAAGTAGATAAACTGGTTCCATAAAGGGCATTTTTCAGATTTTATCTCAAGATCCACATTCTGCAGTTACACGTGCGTTTCTGATGTAACTTGGGGGATTATACTGATGTCAATGGCACTGCATGGTGCACACAGTAAAGCCACAGAACAAGACCCCATCTATTAAAATTTTATATTTTAAATGTAATACAGTGTTTAGAAGCAGGTTTTTTTGCACTTAGTCTTCTGAGGATCTTATATGTGTAAAAACTGGATCAAAAAATACAGCATAACTCATAAGAACTTAAATTAGTGTAAAATGGTCAGATAGTAACCTAGTATAAACAAGCATTCAGATCAAAACTTCCACTTGAAAAACATCACAAAATCAAATTTCTAGTGGAAGCATGGACCCATCTCAAACAAACACAAGCCTACTGGTAACACTGATCGTTCTTTCTCTCCTCAACACC